CGCCTCACGTACGCTTTGCACCACTTGGAATTGGTCCTGCACGCAATCTGGTGCGCGGAATAGGAGCGGTACAGATGAACCAATGCTGCGTTGGCTGTGGCCTCACATGGGGACGCGAGAAGGACCAGTCGCTGAGGATATGAAAACAGAGGAACCGAAGCGTAGAGAAGCTTCTGCTGCAGAAGGGCTAGCATCATGTCTAGCATTCTCTTTCTCAGGGCCGCCTGGCGCCGGACTTCAGGATGGGCCAGGTCCATCTGGCGAGCGAACCCTCCCAGCAGCTGACCTCCAGACCACAGGCCAAGGAAGGACCACACGTCAGGTGAGTTCATCTGCTCCAGGATGCGGTTGCAAATGTCCAGCGCCGCGCCTTCTGATTCCGACATCTGAGCCTTGAAAGCTCCACAGGGACCGCTCTGCAGTTCTGTTCGGAGCGTGTGAAGGGCCTCAGACTGTGGAAGCGACAGGAAGAACCATGCATCCAGGTCGAAGCGAAGGCCCTCGTTAACAAGGGCCATGCAAACACAGTGCAGCTTGTTCGAGCAGCGTGCCCAGAGCTTCTGTCGAGTCTCCCCCTTCATCGTCCCCGCCTGGTCCTCCTCGGGGGCCTCTATGGATGGACGGGGGTTCCGTGTCTGGCTCATCTTCCCTCCCAAGAAACCCATTTTCACACCATAGGAGATGAGCAACAGGCTGAGGAGGGACAATTCCGGACGAAGGGACTTCCATCCTTGGTGGAAGTTGTCCCACCGGGATGTGGTGGAAGGACCTCGCGCATGAAGGAACCGACATTCTCGAAGACGGGCCTGGCACTGCTCCATGGTGGTTTCCGCCTCACTCCAGCCCAGGTCACGGGCAATTCTGGGTCGGAAATAGTGCAGAAGGGCCGACGACTCAGGCGTTCCACTTGCCTCCAACATCAACACAAAGTCCACGCACTCCTCCTCAGAATTCCCGACTTACTTAGCACCACTCTCTCTCTCTCTCTCTCTCTCTCTCTCTCTCTCTCTCACTCTCAGTCTCTCTTTGCATTTGGATGTGTTTTTTTCGTACTTATTATGAGTTAATGGATCGGAATACCTGACTGACAAGAAGCCCAGCCTGGAGGACCCGAAACCAGCGATGACCAGACCATGGACCACGGGAAAAGTTCAGGATCATCTCTGCGACGCCCAGCGAGGACTTCAGATGGACCGTGTGCGCGATGCTGTTCTCCAGCTCTCGCGCTAATCTGTGCCGTGGCTCCCATAGATGGACCATGCGGACAGAAAGACCATTTTGCAGAAACTGCAACGCACTTTGAAGGTCCGGTCCAGCATCCGACGTCACGACCAAGGTAGGAAGGAGCCTCAAGTCTCTGTCCCCAGCTGGCTTCGAGAAGGACCCAAGACCCTCCTCCAAAGCAGGAAACATGCACTTCAACGTCTGGTCGAGGCCCACCACTTGCTCATAGGAAGGACCACGGGTCTGCTTGGCAACTACGGGCTGGGCCGTTGTGGGAGCAGTGGCCTCTATGAGTTTCAAGCTGTCGAGGAACCGCAAGCTGCTGGCATCCAATCTCTTCTGCTCTGCAGCAGAGGGACCTTTATCAGAGTCAGGGGGACGGTACCCGCCATCTTGGAACCGCAGAGGAGGAGCCCATGCAGAAACCCCGGTGTCCGCATCCAGCACACAGTACAGCCAGCGCTTGCGTCCGCCAGCTCTTCCGCCGTCCAAGCCCACGTGGACGAAGTGAGCGTTGTTGAAGAGCCGTCGTGCGGAAAGGAGGTACCTGCTCCGCTCTTTCTTCCTCTGCAGCGTCTTTGTGAAGCGTCGGGCCGCCTCGGCCTGCATGCGGAGCCGTGTCCGCTGCGCCTCCGTTTGAGGGGCCTTGCTGCCCTTTCTTTTGTTGGCATTCCAGGCTTTGCCAAGAGCGGCCTCCATTCTCTTCTGACGGACCAGAGGGTCCCGCATGTCCGCCTCTGATTGGACAAAGGCATCCTTGTCTGCTGGCGCTTTGTGAAATTGAGAGAGATGGACCCCGATCTCCAACTCCCTAGAGACCCCATCTATCAGGTCCCACAGCAGCCATCTTAAGTCCTTCAAGGGCCAGAGTGCATGAAGGACCTCCTCCAGCCGCAGCTTTTGTCGCAACCTGAGAGGCACCTGCCTTTTGCAGTGCCGCATTCGCTCCTTGTACGCAGAGCGCTGGGTCACCTCCCCGAGGTCCACAAGGCAATGACGAACCCGCACCGATTGGGCGCTGTTGTTCACACGCAGCTTCACACGTTTCGGCAGCAGTTGCTCGAAGACCAGCTTCAGCCACTCCTTGCAATGCCGGTAATGCTTCGTGAGAAGGACCATGAGGAAGACCATGAACCTGGTAGAAACGAAAGCATCATGTCCTTGACGCGTGTCCCTGTCATCGGGAACGGCCGCGCTTTCGGGCCAAACTATGTCGTCACGCCCCTGAGTCTTATGGTCCGTGGAGCCCGCCACTTTGCGGGCATTGAAAGCCGGGATCCAGGATTTACGCAGCTTCTTGAGAAGAACCTTCTTCTTCACGTTTGTCAATGCCCGAAGCAGCCAGTAGCACTGGCACTCGTGCTGAGGAACCCACTGGAAGCACAGAAGTGTCAAAGGTCTCTCCTCGAAAGCACCACGCATCGTGTCCTGGGGATACAGAAGGCTGTGGGATCTACGATGGTCCTGCAACCATTCCAGGGAAAGACCATCATTGGCCGCCTGACTCTTCCTGACAACGAAGAGCCTCTCCAGCAACTCCTCCGACTTGCAGGACCGTTCATCCTCGAACAAATGATGCTTCAGCAAGCTGCTTGCCCACATCGGCGCAGCCCCATCAATCTCCAGATAGGCCATGCCATGCTCGTTAAAGTGGAGTCCCAGAAAGGCGTTTGGTAGACGGACCACCTCCCCAGTCGTCTTGTGCCGAAGCAAGCCTTTCTGGTCGTCTTCATAGAAGAGCAACTCAAGGTGCTCCAAGTGAGGGACTTCCTTGCACTTCTCGACGAGTGGGTTAGGAGGCTGGCGGGCCATGCTCACAGCAATGAGAGGCCTGCTAATGAGATTTCCTTACAATGCATCTATTACAAATTACTTTCATGAAAGAAACTGAAGAATTTGAATGAACTGAACGTAGTGCATTGGCCTACCACTCTCAAGTCGGTGCTGCTGTCTCATAGACTCAAGCTGTCACACAGCAGATAGGAATGAAGAACCCAAAGGAAGACCCAAAAAACAAATTGATTCTTTGGAGTTTTTCCAAGGGTTGAGGCATCGAATCAGGGTTGGGTTTGGGGCAACAATGCTTCAGCTTGCGGACTTTTTCTTGCTTGGGGGGGGGGGGGGGTCTCAGGTATTTTCATTCGACCTGCAAGAACCTCAACCAATTCAAAGGCCTCGTCTTTGTCCAGCACGAGCAGACGCATTCGTCAGGATTCCTGAGAGGGACCTGGGCCGCAGCTGCCTTAACTGGAAGCCTGACTTGCCTCATCAATGGTTTGGGGCCACTTACGAGTGACTGACAAACAATACAGTACGGAACTAACCAGGAGCAGCAACCCAAAACGAAGATCTGCGAACCGTGTGTCCACGAACCCGCGCACGAACCCCAAAGACAGCAAACAGGAAGCTTAGCACGAACCCTGCCACGAACCCAAACAGATGGTTCCACGAACCCAAGCCAGGGTTCTGCGAACCCTGGCTTTGAATTGAAAATCAAAAGGAACCCGGGCTTCGACGAACCCTCCGGCTACGAACTCGGCAGGGTTAGTGGCGAACCCCGCCCGGCCTGCATACGAACCCCGGAAGCCTCCATTGCGAACCCGCCACATGCTCGTTGCGAACTGCCCCCACCCATGAAGCGGGAAACCGCCAAGTAAACAAATCCATGGCAATGCCGTGGAGGAGCCCGAAGTGAGGCGCTTGATGGACTGACCACCTGGGCGGAGCAAAGTAAAAGTCGAGCAAGGCACGTTTCAAAGTTTCTCTTGTGTCAATGACTGACCATGACTTGTGCACGACAGAAAACGAAGCAGTTTCTTTTTAATTCTTCACCGCAGTCACGTGGCAGCTCCAGGCACTTCCGGGCCTGGAGCTGCCCTGGGGAGAGGGGCCGCACTTAAAAGAGCAGCCAGAATCATCAGACCCACCGTCTGCAAGCTCATCGCATTCCCGACATTGCTTTGATGCACGTGCTGCAAAGATGGGCCGCTGAAGCCCATGAGAAGGGCCGCCTCACGCGGCAAGAGGAATCGTTTCAAACACGGAACCCATAGCTTACTATTGCGCCGGAAGGTCGGGAGGGACCCGTGTCGTGACGTCCAAAGACAGCAGTGCTCAGGATTCTGGCTCAGGTCGAAGACACAGCCGTCGTTGAGATCAGAAGGACCACCATGAAGCTGTCTCCACTTCGCTTCATAACCACTCAAGTGCCTGCCATTCACAGACATTGTCCCACGAGAGCTGCACTCAGAAAACCTATCTAAAAAAGCTGCAGACCTTACCTGGACTCACACGCTTGCTGTGCCTCTGCTGGCTCTCTGTCAGCAGGTAGGACCAGTCATCTGATGGGCCAGAGCTCAGGGCGGCCAGCTGCCGCTGCTCCCTGATACTGTTCTCCATCGCGACCACGTCAGCAGGCGGCGCGTGCTGCCAGAAGATGGACGCAGGAAGGCTCCCCAAGCCTTTGCGTAGGGTGCAGCAGAGGATCTGATAGACCTCGCCTGGATTCAAGAGCACCTCTACCTTCTCCCGATGGTACACGATGGACCACACACGTGGGCGGGCCATTCCAATGTGACCCCAGTCAGCAGGGCTCCCTTTCAAGTGAAAAACCTGAAACTCTGGCAACGCTGCATCGAGCATCTCCATCCTGGGCCAGGGCTTCCAGCGAAGGCTCTAGTAGTACTTCTGACAACTTGGACCTATACACGGCAACCCACCTTGAATATTCAAGTCGAAACTCGGAAATCCCCATACATTCTCATGCAGGGCCCAGAAGAGCCGGTTCTGCTTGACCATGGCAAGCCAGCCAAAGAGGACGTTGGTTCTGGGATCATCGATTCCTGCAGGGGGCCGGCGGTGGATGTAACTATTGACTTGATATCAACATCTTCTTATATCTGACTCAAAGTCATGCTCCCTGGCCTCGCTTGGCTCCCATGCGGGACCATGGCTGGCAGGGACTGCCACAGATGCTGCCATGGGCGCGTTTAGGAACACACCGGCAACCAGCATGGCGTTCGCAAGATGAGCCGTTACGTGCGACGAAGCTGTCGCAGAAGTGACGGACCTTGCTTTCCGCATTACCTCCTGTCTTCTGCTTCTTGCTTTTTGGGAAGAAGTCATAAATGGAGGACCAAAGATGCCCCGTGTCCTGCAAAAGCAAAGCCCTTTGGCAACCGGGGTCCGGATCCATTGCATAACGACAGATGAGCCGCACGGGCTTCCGAAAGACCTTTGCCGATGCTTCACGAATCTGCTTGCAAGCGATTTCGGCAGTGCCTAAACCAGAGCAACACGTAAAGTACGTGGATCTGTGACCCAGGAAGGACCGCTGCCAGTCCGGAAAGTCCTTGCTCACGCTGCTCAATACCACCTCCGCCCAAGCGAGGAAGGGCTTCATTGCCGGAGCGCCCTCCATCAACCACTACAAATCAAAGCCCGAAGGGCGGAGGTTCTCTTTGAGCACTTGGGCTCATCATCAAACATCACTGTGATTCATGCGCATGAGTCAATGTTTTCCTGTATTCCTGGAAGGTCCGTCTCTCGACTCAGGATCCAGCTCGATTGCTGAGGCAGAGGCTGGGTGGAAGAACCTGAGTTTCGTAAGCTGAACTACGTGACTCGCAAGCCATCAAAGCAAGCACTTTGACTTCCAAGAATGCAAACCTGCACGTAAGCTGTTTGGCAACGATTGCTCTACACTTATACACCATACCCACCAAGCACCGGGCCGCCGCATCACAGAACATGCGCCGTGACAGCGCATGAGTCCAAGAACAACCTCATTCAAAGAGGCTTTGTGACTCTTCAATGCGATAAATTAACTGGTATAGATTTTGTAACAAACAGAATGAATCAAACAATTTCTGTCAAGTAAGAATGTTCATAGAGAGACACCGGTACTAAAACGAATGAATTGCAATGCGCCGTGACGGCGCATGGCCGGCATTGCACCGTGACGGCGCAAGACGTAAAGGGTAACCCACTCTATTTCAAAATCTCAATTTAGAACTTTGTCTGGTTAAAACAGGAATAGCAATCAGCAGGCTCACGCGGTAAAGGGATCTGCACAGTGCCACCACGGCATAATTAATGCCTTATACAAATGGCAAAACAATGTATTTACAAGACAAGCATGTTTAGTCTTGGTTTTATTAGTAGAAAAACAAGAAGACGATCAGCCTGTAAGGACCAAGCGCCGTGCCGGTGCATCTCGTTCAAAGCGCCGTGGCGGCGCATGTGCAGTAGAGGGACCTGAACGTTGAGGTCATGCATCCGTTGTATATGATGTATTCTAATTCATAATATAATACCTGGATGAGAACGTCAAGGAGTGCCACTCTATCTACAAAGACGCCGTTTAATGATTTAAAAACAGGAATAGCAATATTCAGCAGGCTCATGGGACCCTAAGCGCCGTGACGCCGCATTCCCCCCGATGCTGTTTAAAATGGCAATACATTAGATAGCGTGTTTTTTAAAGGACATGTTTAATTTTCATTGTATTAGTAAAAAAAAACAAGCATAAGACCACACAAGGACCAAGCGCCGTGCCGGCGCATCTTGTGCAAAGCGCCGTGGCAGCGCATGTCCGGTAGAGGGACCTGAACGTTGAGGTCATGCATCCGTTGCATACGATGTGCTATCATTCATACTCACATGTTTAGTTTCATGGATCCTACTGAGAAGCCTTACAGCTGTGGAATACCCTACTGACACATGCCTTCACGAGGGCCGTGCTTCAGTCCAGGGCCATGCACCATCACGGCGCTTCTCCTGGCAATTATCTTTCAGGTTCGACCTACTAACTCGACTTTCTAATGGACTGTCCATGAGTCGAGAAGAACGTGCTTTGTCACGGACTGAAAGAAAGTGTCGCCTGCCTCGCATTGTGGGTGATGATACCACCGAGTGGGAGCGTCAGAAGTGCTGGAGGTGGTTGCCGCGGGTGGTGGCAACAACCTCCGTCACTTCTGGCGCCACCACTCCGTGGCATCATGACCTCACTCAGTGGCTGTCTGCTTCGTCGACTCCTGCTGCGTGAAGAACCTGGGCCGGGAGAATTCCAACACGACACCGTCTGCAACATTTTTTGCAGACTGTCCTTGACATGAGGAATGGAGTAATGACTAACTTGACTCTCCGACACACTGGGAAGTCTGCGGGAAGAGCCGCTGCAGCAGCCGGGCAGCCTGACAGACAGGGGAAAGGACGGACACTGCATCCAATCGTGGACGTGAAAGTTAAAAAACCCAAGCACTCAGGCGCAGCACTTCTTTTTTCACTTGTTGAAGGAGAGGCCTGCGAGCTGTGCAGCTAAGAAGGGCCTCAGGCTCTTATTATGCCACGTTGTTGTGGCTGGCCAGGAGCCAAAATCATTGACAGCCTGATCACTTCGGACGAACCCGGCGAGCTCGAAGACGATGCCGTTGGCTAAAACAGGGCTCGTTGTCTCAGAAGGACCTTCACCTGAGAACGCAAGAACAAACCAGCACTCCAGTCTCGACTCTCACAAGACCACTCTAACATCTGTGTTTAAACGAGGCAGCACTGAGCATCCTGCTGCCACGACCAGCTCTGCCACCAGGACCATCCTCCACTGTTCCAATCTCCGTCTTGAGGGACCTCCTCCTGAGGGGTCTGCTGCGCAACGGCCGTGGGGTCAGAGGTCACTGTCGGAGGGGCCGCCGTAGTCGGAGCAGCCACAGTCGTGGCAGCTGCCGCAGCCTCAGTTGATGGAGCCTCAGTCTGGGGCGGTTGTGGCGGAGGGGCCTTTACCTCAACGTGGCAAGGGCCCGTGGCTGGTGCTG